CGTCCATCTCGAGGAACGCGCCCTCAATTTTTTCTTTCAGCTCTTCGATTATTGGGGATCCTCTTCTTGTAGACAAGTCCGTTTATAAATCCCCATACGAAAAAGTCACACATATTTAAGTCGGGGGATCGTGGAGGCCAGTCCATATAATCTGATCCCCGACCCATCCACCGCCGAGGGAACGTGTTATTGAGCCATGCCCTCACACTCTTTGCGTAATGGGGAGCCGCCCCATCCTGCATGAATATACAGTTTTCTTTTGTCATGTGGTACCTTTCAAGCTCAGGGATCATTTCCGTCTTCAGCATGTCCAAGTAGGCATCTGCGTTAACGGTGCCATCGAAAAAAAAGGGGCCCACTATGCCTTCACGCCAAATCCCACTCCACACTGTCACCTTCGGTGAATGGAGATGCCGTTCGTCCACGGCATGAGGGTTATCGCGAGCCCATATCCTGCTGTTCTGGCGGTTCACACGTCCATCTAGGTGAAAGTTTGCTTCGTCACTAAACAAAAGAAATTGCAGGTGCCCCGGGTTGCTCTTAATTCGCAACAACTCCGCCTTGCAAAATTCTAAACGTCGGACGTTGTCGCCGTCGTGCAGGGCTCGGACAACTTGCATCTTGTACGGGCGCAAATTATTTTTCCGCAGAATCCGTCGTACGCTTTTTTCCGAAATTCCAAACAACCTGGCTGCTCGTCTTGTTGACAATTGCGGGTCACTCTCGAAGACAGCAAGCACCGCTTCAATGAGCTCCTCATTTTTCAGCAGGCTCTCACGTTCACTGACTGGATTCTCCTTTTTAAAGTCTTCTCCACTCATAAAACGATTCGCCCAAGTCAAAATAGTCGGGCGTGAAGGCGGGCGTTTATGGAATGCAGTGCGAAATTTTCGCTGTGCTGTGGTCACCGAGTTCCGCTCCACGTACCACTTGACTGCCTGGGCACACTCACTCGCCGACTATTGCGGCATCGCAGGGCGGCGCGGAAAATATTTTGATAATAAGTGCAGAAGATAGTGCAACAAAAACAATAAATGGGAACAATCAAGATGCCTCAGCAGCGGCACTCTTGATTCCAAAGTTGAGCTTTCACCGGGAACGGACCCGTCAACAGATAAGCAGACGACAAAGGAAGACACACGTTCGTCTGCTTTAGAACATATTTTTATTAAACGAGGGCGTCCGCCAGTTTCTAAATTTCAAGTAAAAGGGCAAAATCATTCACATATTTTGGTAGAATCACTTTTTATCACGATTATCTCGCTCGACACCAGCCTTACGTGTGGCGTTTCCGGCGTTTTTGCGTTCAGTGCGCCACCTGGGAGCGGCGTCGCGAATTAGATAGCAGACGGCGAACGGGCGGGTATAGGCCATAGGAAATGCACGTCTGCCATTTTTGTCATCTTTCTAATAATTCGCTACTCCCGAGTAGACGTCTGAAAAAAATAGGCAAACATCTTTGGAATAAACGACGTTCTTGTGCCCAGTTTCAGGTATGTACGTTTGAAATTCGATTTTTGCTAGGCGTGCCAAATGTCAAAGTTTTTACGGCCGCACCCTGTATATATATTTTGTTAAACAAACCAAACTGACACGAAAAAAAAAATTCTGAGCTTCTTTTTTAAGTTTTAGCGAACAAAACATTCCACTTCATGGAGTTTTCTATGATGCCCTCGATTTCCCTTTTTGTTTTTTTAATGACGGTACGAAACGAGTTTATGGAAGTGAACCATGGAAGTGGTCGGCGGTCACGAACAAAATATTCGTCCTCCATCACGTTTTTCATTATCAGGGTTTGTGCTCGCCCCGCACTCAGCGCATGTATTTTTTTTCTCGAGGCCTTTGACGTTAATTTAATTTCAAAAGTCTACTTGGGATAGTAACCGATTAACTACACTTAAAACAGCCTCGGTCTCTCAATAACGCGTCGCCTTGTCACCTAAGCCTCAGTCCCACTGCGCGTGCACGTCATATAAAAGACACGGTGTTGACTGTAGACATGAAACCTGAATAATCTGCGCACACACCCCCAACATTTTCGAAGAATGTTTGGTTCCTACTTATGTATATATACTTAGAACATGTTTGCAGACTGTATTTTGTATGAGGCTTCAGCAACGTGATCGCGGCTTTGCATTGTTGATTGAAAAGCCCGACCCTGCGATGCGACGGCTAAGAACGCCCACGTAGTGTGTAGCGTGCTGGTGACTCGCGACGAGTTTCTAAGGAGAAATCGCCGAGGGATACCCGGCGGCTTTTGACCATCGATTGTAGAGGAAGTTCGTCGCCCGCGCCTGGGCGCTCAACTTGTAAAAGTCGGACATACGCCGGCCCGGCATAGTACACGGCATAGGAACGGTCAGTGTTTTGGCCTCGTTTCCCTGTTGGCAGGGGCAACCGCCCGCTGCTATTCAATTTCCCATCGCGCGCCCCGATCAATACTGCCTCCCCCTGGCGGCCTCCGCTCGCGCAACTGGTGGTTTTTAACTGCCGCGGAAACGCCCCCTCCCCTGGCGCCAGAGAGCTCGCTTATTTTCTGGTGACTTGGAGACGGCACTGTTTTACGTCGCTACGCTAATGGAAGTCGTCAGGTCGCTCTTCCGTGCCCTCCCCCCCCCCCCCCCCCCCCCCCAGTCCCCCCCACATCAGGTCTGTTTGTTTGCGCTGCCTTATCTCGACGGGCATCGTAGGACGGTTTGGTCATTTTGTTTGCAGTACTCATTTTATTTGTCGTTCCTTTAGGCTTTCCCGGGGCGGTGTTGTGGCGTTTGAGTGGTTTGCGGAACGAGCTCTTAGCCGTAACAGCTGAGCTACGGGAATGTAAAACATTTTGCAGGCTGCTCCGTTTTTTCTTCCTATTTTCTTTTTTTTTTTTTTTTTTTTTACTCGGGGACTTGATATACTTTTTTGGGTTTCTTTTCGTGTTTCGTTTGCCATTGTATGTGGATCCTTTCTCTTTCTTGTCAGGGACCTGAATCTTGCTCCGTAGGTATTTTAGTGTTATCGATAACGTTGTTCTCTTTTTTTCTTGGTTTTGCTCTGGTTACACGTTTGCTGATGCTCCCTTGGCTCGTGTCTTTAAGTGGTCTGCGCTTTTAAGAGCTGATTTGTTCTGTCATTTTCTCTGCTGGGTGACGTCAGCTATTCGGGGAGACTACTCGGTTTGAAAGGTGCACGTGGCCTCGTTTCTTGGGCCACAATCTTTGTCTTCTCGTGTTTGTATATAGCGTGTGCACCCTAACTTTTTATTTGCCTCTTTCCTGTTTCTTCTTCTGTTTCATTGAAGTTTCTTGCGGGACAGCGCCTCCATATTTGCTTAGTCGACATTGCGACTTCAACATAATGAATGATGTCAGTTGGTCACGTACTAATCTCGGTTCTTTGTTTTGTTTTTTTTTCGTTTGACATACTACTTTTTTGCGACACTAATTTTACATTGTGCAGTTTATAAAGATTTTGAAAACGAGTGCAGGGTGCACACGACTACTGTAACAGACTGGAAGAGGCTGCACGGTACAGATCAATGCAGTGCAGACTACGTTATTCACGGCACAGCCCATGACCGCTGTAATGGTCTATAGTGCGGTTAGCGAAAGCAACGCCTCCACTTTCTAAGTACGTGATAGTGCTATTTGAAGTAGGAGTACAAACGTGCTTACCACGCGTTTACTCCGGCTTGGAGGGCTCCGCGAACGACGGCATCTTTTAAATAAATACGCATATTTTAAGTGTGACTCGGATTATTCGAAACTTCAGAGTAGGCAACGCCACCCAGCGGAAAAAGAAAGATGCGATGGTGAAAAGTGTGGAGATATCGTCTTTCCAAGTGCGCAGCGAAACCTGGTGCGGCCTGGCGGCCGAATCGTGAAACGGGGTAAATTTCGGGATGAAGTGCACCTCTTCAGAGTTTCGAATGATCTTCACGGCCTTACGTTTTCATCCTAATGATGCGTAGGGGAACCCTCCCGCGGGCGTCGTGTTTTTAGATTGACACTGTGAAAGGCGTCGAATGGATTCTCATCTCGAGGTTTCCGACGAAAGTCCATATGTTGCCACCGAAATGTCTCCGAATTTATCGACGTCAAAGTGAAAGCGGCTGCCTCCACGCAGTCGTAACTGCGTGACAGCTTCGCTCTTACCCTCAATTCTAACCCGAATTGGCGGCGTGGCATGCAACCAATTGATCGTTCATTAGCCGCCGGTTCGTTGATACTTCGCCAACTTCGAAGCGACTGCGAAGCCAGCCGGCTGTTGGTCGTATAACTTACCGCGTTGCGCCTGCTTGAAAGGCAGAAGGTTTCCGCCATTTGAATGTCTTATGTGTACGTGCGTGCACGCACGTAACTGACTCTCGCTCATTTTGAAGAGTGAAGTATGGTAAGCGTCGCGTCTCCGGTTGCGGAGAATAGCGTTGGTTTTCGACGCGAGGGGAGGTTGGAGAACGGCGGTAGAGCTGAACGGCTTTTACTTTAGCGACGCGGGCCTGCGATGGCGTTTAGTTTGGCCGGACGCCAGAGGCGTGCGAGGGCATATCCACGCTTTCGAAAGTTCGGTAGGTTCATTTTATTCTCTGTGCCAGCAACTGCATTGAATCTCCAAGAACATAACGGGATCGGCTTCAGAACAGACACCGCTTAGTCGTATCGTGTTTTCACGGACCGATTATACGCACAGTCGTGCAAGGAGATAACTGCACTATACGCCTAAAGTGTCTTCTATTATCTCTTTTTTTTTTTTTTTTTAGCTAAGGTCTATTCACACGCCTTTCGTGCCAAACCATTGTTGGGGTCCTCTAGCTTCACTGAGGTAACCTACAACCCCCGAAACAGTAGGTCGCAATCGAAATGGAGCTATTAAATTTTCTCGTGCCTTAATTTGCGCCGACTAAGATCTTTAGAAACGTGGCCGCTCGTCCGAAGACGCGGCTATACGGAGCCTCTAGAGTTTGCGTCTGGTATGTCGCTCTAAGTGGTTCTTGTCTTTCTGTTGGCGTCCTACAGGGTTTCCCATGGGTCCCATCCATCTCCTCGACCGCCTCCTGGGCGACGGCACGTGATGAAGGAAGCCGAGATCGTCTCTCTGGTGAGTCAGTGTTCCTCTTTTTTTTCTGGTGTCGCGCCAACGCGAGTCGCCGACGAAAAAGCCGTCAGTAAGAGGGGAACTACACGTCACATTACCCTGCCCTCCGCCCTGCGTGGGCACGGGTGAGTGCGTGATCACGTGAAGAAAAAATGGACGCACGGTTGTTCCAACGTGTGCGTAGCTTTCATTACACTGTCAACTGGGGTGTTTTGTTTTGTATTGTTTTTTTTGGCAGCGTCGGTGTTTTGTCTGTCATAGTAGACGAGGAGCGATCCATCCAACCAACTTGAAAAAAAAGTTATTTTGGCGTCGTTTGCCGGCTCCAGGCACGTGTTTCAGGCCACAACTCGGCATTGTCGTGCTTTGGATGACACGCTCGAAATCGGGGCTAGGAAATGGATTGATAAACCTTTTCGATTAATTAATTAATGTTTTTATCATGATCCACTTTTGTGATCGGTTAATCGGTTGTATTTTGAATTAAAAATTTCGGCGAGAAGGTAAAAATGTTTACTTTAGTATACTTGGTGTACATTTATGTACTTTAGGATTCAGCTAGCACTTCTGTATTCCACGCTAAACTACATATCAGGCTTAAAAAAGATATTGTACAAATATCGCACTTTTAAATTGGATTGCTTTTTTTTCTTCTTTGGGGGCGAGGGGGGGATACAGCGTCAGATGTAGACTGCGCATTCCACCATAAATAATAATAAGTACCCACAAAAAAAAAGTGCTGTTTGGAGACCTTTTTTATATGGTTGGAGGTCAACGCGACCGGTTAATCGAATAAATTATCGATTAAATAGTCGTGATGAATCTGGGTAAAATGTTTAATCGACCTTCAGCCCTAGTTGAAATAGTACGTGTGTTAGGCTGTACGTACGTAGACCGTTGCAGGGTCGCGAGTGGCATCGATTCCACATCAACGCTCTTTCGCTTTGACTAACACTTCAACAGTTCTTAGCGTGGAATAACGAACTTTACCGGCATAGTTTCTTCCGTCGCATATGCACACCTTCCATTGTCATATGCTCGTTTTCTTATCAAGAACCGTAGCAAAAAGAGTCAGAATCCTCGGGGAGCATTATTTAGTTTCCCCATTTATGTGCAGAATTAAGATATCTGTAGGTGCAAGGACAGGACGAGCGGGTTGGTATGGATTATTAAACTTGAGGAAGAAAGCGAGAAGGGTTTGTCCATCCCTTCTCGTTTCTTCCTCAAGTTTAACTGTAGGTGCACTTTAGATTAGATATCTGTTAGCGTATCAAAACGTACACGTCTCAAACGCCAAAAGAACCGCTTCTTCCTCCGACAGCTAAATCTAGTAAAAACTACTTCGCCCGGCGTATGAACAGTGCGCAGAAAACTTCTTTTTTTACTTGAGATGAAAACGAGTATAGTAGTTTTAATAATAGCCTCTTAACTGTGGAGAAAAAAAAAACATTGAGGAAAACTGGTGACCGCGCGTTCAGGCTAGTTGTGTCGTCCGTGTTTTGTCCTTATCGCAGCAAAAAAAAAAAAAAAGACAATGGGAAAAAGAGAGAGAGAGAGAAACAGAGGGGGGAGGCGGTATTAGCCTTTCACGCCATGTATGCTTCATTGTTTTCTGTCTGGATTGCGTTAGACAAAGGGCTACAAAGGTCTAGTTAAGTGTTGTTAGAGGGACCATGAAATTATTTTTTCATCTTCTTCGTCCGTAACTTTTAAACTCGAAAGGAAAATGAAAAATAACGTGGTCAGAACGTGCTTGGGCACCGGGGGCGAGGACTTCAAGCTTCCACCGTGCTTTCTAACCACACTATGGAACTTTGATGAAAATAATCCCTGGAGAAGGGGAACAAGAGGGACAAAGGACAAACACAAATCTCCAAACACAGCTGGGTGACTGGTGCGCGACCGGTCTTGTCCAGCTCGCTTGCACCTTTGCATTTAATTGCATTCTAACTATGGAACTTGTCAGTCGTAAGTGATGATAAGCTCCGTCACGGCATTCGTTCACCACGAACGTGAATTGAAATATTCGTGGATAGATTCATTGCTGACGAGTGCATACGACCGAGCGGGTGCATCACGGTGAAAGGGCGCGGATAGCTTTCGAAGAAAATGAGATAAGGAATAGTACGCTCCATTAACATTTTCGTATCGAAAAAACAGGCTCTTGGCTTTCTACCCTGGTGTACTAGCTTTCTTCTGGCACACTAAACGATATGCGATCAGTAAAATCCCAATTTATCCCAGTCCAAAATTATTTGCATTATCCCTTTAACGCAGCTGTTAACACTTTAACTTCTACTCTCTAAAAAATACACCGCAAAAACGAAAAAAAGTTTGAGGCGTGTATTTTGAGTAGCAGTTACTTGTTTCTGGTCACAATGGGGGACAACTTTCTGTGGCAGTCAAAGGAACGGGTGCTTTGAGCGCTGGTTTAAACTTTGCACGCGCACTCTTTATTGATTTATTTATTATTTATTTTCTGCATTTCTTATTATTCCCTCAGGGCCCGAATGCAATACAGAGGGGGAGAGCAGCAATATGACGCTACAATTTAAAAAAACAAAAACAAAAACACATTAGGATAAAAGAAAATACAGTTTAGACGCACTCGTCAAGAACATGGTCAGTTAATGCAGATCTAAAATGCTCCAAGTACGTGATGGAAGTAATTGAACCGGGAAAAAGTTTCCATTCTTGGGATGTACGAGGAAGAAAAGATGATTGGAATGTAATGTGTTAGCGCTTGGGATGCCAACCTTGCGTTGATGATCAAGGCGAGAGGACACGTAAAGTGGGCGTACAATTATTTTGTCTCGTAGTATAGAGTTATGAAAATCAATTTTGTGAAACCAGGAGAGTCGTGAAATTTTCCGACGTAAAAATAACGGTGGGAGTGATAAGGTTGATTTCATATTAGTGACAGTAGCTGCGTAGTCGTAATTAGTGAATAAGACTCGAGCAAATCTGTTCTGGATAGCTTCCAATGCATCAATAAGAAAGGCATGACCGGGATCTCGGACCGATGTTGCGTAGTCTAATGTAGCAATGCCACAAAGTTGTCCCTGAGTATGGCTATTGTAATCGATCTTGTGTCGCTATGTTGATCTGGCATATTAATGCTATAATATTAATATCCAGCAAGTTCCCTGTCAGCGCGGTATTAACCATTTTGTTTTTCCTCAAGATAGATTATGTCCCCTTGGTATGTTTTACTAGTTTTACTTAGTATTCTTACGCTCATTCAATTCACGTTCTCACGCACAACGGTGAAGCTGATTTCGTGAGGCCGAGAAACGTGGAAACAAAAATACTATCGATACTTTCATTGATACTTTGACGTTTTCGGCTGCTTTGCGCTGCCGTGTCATGATTAACGGTCGACTTTCGCGTCGGCCGGTCGTGCAGCTTCTCCATCTTTTTATCGCCCCCGCAGAACGAGCATTAGACTTCATCTTGTAAGTTGCCTGCGGCGCTATCAAAGGGGCGAGGGCGTGGCGCTACACTATACTCTATTTGTTACCCCGTGCTCCTGCCCGTACGTCTCACGGCGAAGAACAAGACCCTTCAGATTGTGTATAAACTCTGTGATCTGAAAGCCCGCTACCTTCGTCCACCTCGTGCGCCTCATCAGAGGGTATTGTAATTTTCAGTCGACAGAATACGCGGCCGTCCGTCTACTTGACACGCTTATTGACGAACAGCTTCGCGACGGTGATTATTTCTGTATTCAGGACGTGAAATGCAGCCACGACGTTCAGATTGTCTCACTGAATATGGAACAGCTCGTCTCTAACAAGTATACTCACGGAAAGGTAAACCACATCGGTGATCGACACGGCGTCATCCTTGCACACAAAGACCATTCGCAGTGGATTCAACGATGTGATGTGTTGAATCCATTCGCAATGGATTCGCCAATTGTCGACTGGATATTCGTGGAAAGTATGTCATTTTTCGACTCGAAGTGCCAGCAAAGCCGATGCTACAATCACCGGGATATTGTCCTGAACGGCGCTTTCACTTTCACGGGCCCGTGGGCGTAGCAGGCCCATTCAAAGCGTGGCGATTGCTTCGTCTCCGTCGCTCGCGCACTTATGGTGAGTTCTTTTATTATCATTTGTTTTGTTTCTCTTTCGCTAGACGATAGTTTTCGCTTATGTCATCGGCGACAGATTACGGAGCTCTGGGGCTGGTAGTCATTCCCGAGGGCCAATATGCCACACGCCTTCTCCCATGCTTCACACTTATCAAGAACGCCGTGTCGCCACATTTGAGCGTCCTGCACACCGCGCATGGTCAGAAAGGGCTCCTACTCATTGTCTGCCAAAAACAATACGTTGTGGAACGAACGATGCAGAAGCTTGTGGAAGGTCTTCCCCAGGAGACGATATCCGCCGCCATTTTAGGATATAACAGTACTTCCCGCTTTTCACCTCTACACCTTTTCTGCAAAGATGCCGCCATTTTGAATGCAGTCATCTCCAGTATGGGGGAAAACATAGCTTGGGCCGTCGGTACGCCAACAGAAGACATTCAGGATATAAGCGTAACCGTAAGTCATTCTCGTTTTGCCTCACCTTTAGGGTTTTTTTTTTTTTTTTTTACACTATTTGCAAGTTTAAGTGTTCTATTATTTTCGTCGCCCATTTCGGAAATGTCTACCACGTGGCCAGGGGACAAAAGTAAATAAAAAAAAGGTGTATATAGTACAATAAATTTGACTTGGATCTATCAATACGCTTCTACAGACTTTATCTCCTCGACGTTTATATTGTTCTTTGTCTTCTGACAGCTGTCCTCCATGTATCACTACTTCGACACGCGGGACGTGGTTTCGTGTGTAGAGTCACTGAATGTTCGCGTTTTGTTTGCGACCAGAGCATATAATTCACTAGGGATATACTCAGCAAAAATACAATACCGTTGGCACTGACAGCTTTTGCGATAGTTGGAACGGCTGGGACATTCCAACTAACGTTCCAAACTCAGGGTTCTTCCTCCTT